ACTTACAAGAAAACGTTGTACAGCTTTTGTTATATAGCATTTCTTCATGTATCTAATAGTTTTGAACAATGGTTTAATTCAGAAAGTAGAAAAAAATTCTTTTTAAATGTATTAAATCTTTTTTGTGAAGGTAAAAATGTGCTGTTAGAAACAAGACAGAATGGACGTCAGGTTTACTGGAATCGAGTTTCGTTGTAAAAGAATTGAGTTCTTCACGTAAAGTAACCAAAAAATGTTGTAATAAAATGATTTTTTTCCTTTTTTTGAACTGCAGTTGTAGAATTCTAAAAGTTATTTGCTGGATTTTATTGAACGTACCTGTTCGAGGATTCAAGGAAATTGATAAATATGAATGAAATGCTCTAAGAAAAGACAAGGAGATGGGCGAGATAGGCTAGTGGACTGTATAGGTGAAGAATTTACTGGTAGAATGATGTGTAACATGATTTAATTACCAAATTTTAACAGAAAGTAATAGAGATGGCGAAAGTATAATATATTTTATACAAACAGTAATAGATCAGCGACGCCACGTGTTCCGGAAATCACGCTACGTGTACCGGAAGTACGTAGCACGAGAAGCGTTTAGTGAGAGAAAGTCAAAAGAGATGAAATAGATGAGAAGAAGCGTGATAAGAGATGAGATGGAACGGTGATAGAAAGAATAAGGAGAGGGTCTAGTTGAGGAGAAAACGAGATGATAGACTATGAGATGATTCACAAATTTTCAGAGAGTGTAAAAGATACGTCCGCACTGTTTCACTTCGTAAGAGAATGTGTTGGACCACGCCACTTTTCGGTTCGATTRGAGGAGCAGAGCGGAAGTGGAGAAAAGACAATACACCAATTAGCGAGTTCCACGCTAGGAAGAGATGACAAACGATCAATAGGAAAGTAACACGCAGAGGATGACGTCACAGGGGACCAATGACCTATTGACACGTTAAGTGGCGTGATTTACTGATCAATAAGAACAATCGATATGTCTTTTTCTTAGCGACAACAGACGGCGTCCTAATCATGCTAGCCGAGAGGTGCTGCTATCTAGTCTAAAGGGCGCAATTGTCGAACATTCTCCCCCCCCCAATTCTCGAGCGTGATTCGAGAATTTGACTTAGAAAGATGTGCTGAACCGCGGAGAAAATTATTATTCCTTGTGCGGTTGGAGAGGCAATGGTGCGAGCTTGACGATAGGTCTGGTGATAGTGCTGGTGGTCGTTTTCAGTGTGATAACCCTGCAGAGACCGTCCTTTCCTGGGTGTAGCTGGATCACCCTGGCGAGAGGCCATTTTGACGGAGGAAGTCGTTGGTCGGTAACGAGGACAAGAAACCCTTCCTTAATGTCGTTCTGCGATGTCTGCCCTTTGGATGTGGTCTGATGCGCTTGCAGGCATTCCGTCGAACACCTTCTCCAAAATTGCTGGAAGCGCTCTTGAATCTGCTGGAAAATAGATAACCTGGAATCTGAGATGTCTGTTAGAAAAGGCTCGGGGATAGTTGTTAATGCTTCCCCTCTGATGAAATGCCCTAGTGTTAATGCTCTGATGTCATCAGGGTCTTCCGAGAGAGAGCTGAGAGGTCTAGAGTTGAGAACCGCCTCAACTTGAGCTAAGAACGTGGAGAAGTCTTTGAACGTTAGCAACGTATCCGAGATGGTTCGTTGTAGATAATACTTGATTGATTTTACCGCCGCCTCCCATTTTCCGCCCATATGCGGTGCCGCTGGAGGGTTGAAGATCCACTTAGTGCCGTCATTAGCGAAAAGTCTCTGGATCTTAAGGGATTCCTTCGTTGCAGCTGAGAGTAGCTCCTTAAGCTGCTTATTTGCTCCCTGGAAGTTGGTACCACAGTCGCTTCTGAGCGTTTTTGGAATGCCCCTACGGCTGGTCA